GGCCTTCGATACCGTCGACCACGGTATTCTTCTGGGGCGCCTTGCGGAGATGGGTCTTGGGGGCACTGCTTTGCAGTGGCTCCAGTCATTTCTGGAGGGTCGTACCCAGAAGGTGTTAGTGGGGGACTCCTGTTCAACGCCACAGCCTTTGACTTGTGGGGTTCCACAGGGCTCTATATTGTCCCCCATGCTGTTTAATATCTACATGAAGCCGCTGGGTGAGATCATCCGGAGTTTCGGGGTGCGGTGTCATCTGTACGCAGATGATGTCCAACTCTGTCACTCCTTTCCACCTGCTACTAAGGAGGCTGTCGAGGTCCTGAACCGGTGCCTGGCCGCTGTAATGGTCTGGATGAGGGCGAACAAATTGAAATTAAATCCAGACAAGACAGAGGTACTCCTGGTCAGTCACAAGGCCGAACAGGGTATAGGGTTACAGCCTGTGCTGGACGGGGTCGCACTCCCCTTGAAGGCACAGGTTCGCAGCTTGGGTGTGACCCTGGATTCATCATTGAGCCTGGATCCCCAGGTTTCAGCGGTGACCAGGGGAGCATTCGCACAGCTTAGGCTCGTGCGCCAGCTGCGCCCGTACCTTGGGAAGTCTGACTTGGCCACGGTGGTACACGCTCTGGTCACATCCCGCCTTGATTACTGCAACACTCTCTACGTGGGGCTGCCCTTGAAGACGGCCCGGAAGCTTCAGCTAGTCCAGCGCGCGGCAGCCATGTTACTAACAGGAGCGGGACGCAGGGAGCATACAACGCCCTTGTTGTTCCAGCTCCACTGGCTGCCGATCTGCTACCGGGCCCAATTTAAGGTGCTGGTGTTATCCTACAAAGCCCTAAACGGTTCCGGCCCAAAATACCTTTCGGACCGCATCTCGGCCTATGAGCCCACGAGGACCTTGAGATCATCTGGGGAGGCCCTTCTCTCGATCCCGCCTGCTTCACAGGCACGCCTGGCGGGGACGAGAGAGAGGGCCTTCTCGGTGGTGGCCCCCCGGCTGTGGAACGACCTCCCTGTTGACATCAGACAGGCGCCCTCCCTTTTGTCCTTCCGCAGGAGCCTAAAGACCTGGCTTTTCGAGAAGGCATTTAACTGAATATTACGGCAACTGGTAATTGACATCTGGAACGGAATATGGACTACGATATTGGATATGATTCTATGATATGACGGAGCGGATTATTTAGTGTAACTTATAGTATTGTGTATTATTGTTGTGTGGATTGCTTGTTTCTGTTTCTGTAAACTGTTTTTATATGCTGTACACCGCCGCGAGTCGCCCTAGGGCTGAGAGCGGCGGTCAATAAATGCACCAAATAAATAAATAAATAAATAAATAAATAAAATCTAGAAATAGTCTTCTAAGATCTACAGAGACACTCGCTGGAACACCTCAGCAAGCGAGAGTCCAAAAGTGGCAGGCTCAAACCCAGAACCTCAACCAATGGCTGATACCAAATGAGGGACTCCCCCCTGGGCACACAGAAGACTGGGTGACTTGGAAGGCGCTGAACAGACTGCGCTCTGGCACCACGAGATGCAGAGCCAACCTTAAGAAATGGGGCCACAAAGTGGAATCCACGACATGTGAGTGTGGAGAAGAGCAAGCCACTGACCACCTGCTGCAATGCACCCTGAACCCTGCCACATGCACAATGGAGAACCTTCTTGCAGCAGGTGCACTCCAAGTGGCCAGCTACTGGTCAAAGGACATTTAATCAACTACCAAACTCGCAAATGTTGTATTTCGTCTGTTTGTTTGTTTGTTTTGTTCTGTTAGAAATGTAATACAATTGTCTGGTTGCCCTGACACAACAAATAAATAGGCTATATTCACTGGGGACATTTTTAGAGACAACACATATCAGAGAGACTTTTAAATTAGCAACAGGGGGGTAAAGGGTTTGTACCAACTACCCTACTGTCTATGCCCTTTTTATATATTTTATCTCTACAACCAATTCTAGGCCATCAACAGAATCAAATAATAAAAGAATGACTTTACCCTAATGGGTTATGGCCTGATCAGGACATAAAAGCATCCACGTTAGAAGCATATCTAAATTAATTGATTTGGGGCCCTTTTTGTTGTGATGGTGAAGTTATTTCAGCTCATTGATCCCTGTTTCCTGCTATTGCTCCTTTTCTTTTTTGACAGTTCGGTGAGGCTCTCCGCATTTGGAACACTTATGTCTGAACTTGCAGGGTTGGTTTGCAGAAGCACCATGAAATGTAAACTCCAAGCATAGCATCCTCTACTTGGAAATCCTGTTAATGCACAACCATGTCATTAAACAAGATGGTCACTAACTGATTGTTTCAATTTTCAGGATGTGGGCTTAGCAGGAATCATGACCTGCATCCACTGCTGAGAATGAATGTTTCTATCACATGGCAGGGTATTTGGTGGCCTTCTCTTTGAAAACTTTGTAATACGGTAGCCACGCCAGCCCTGATAAATCAACATATGTAGTAAATAATATCCATGTTGAGATTAACTTCACAATTCAGCAGCAGATCAGTTGCACAACTTCAGCGCTTTCCAGTAGCTTCTTCCTGCACAGTATATTCAGTCAACTGCTCCCACAGCCTGTAGTCACTCTGGAACCTTTTACAGACACTTGAGCACATGCCCGGCCATTGTCAGTTTTACCATTGTCTTTCCCCCAGTCTATATGATATTACAAACTTACCACAGCATACAGTTATATCTTGTCTTAGCAGACAGGTTCTTTTAATCAATTACATATAGCCTTCGAAGAACAACATCACAGCACAAGGAGAGATATACACTGTACATGACTTCCTTATATACAATTCTATACAATTACACATAGCAATCTCTGATTGGTTCCCAACTCATTGACTTAACTCAGACCCAGGATTACATCATTCACAATCACCTGGACTAGGTCAGAACATATTCCCCAAATGAAGTTCTATATACAGTGAATGCATGACTCAGCATTTCCAATAGAAGCCCATTAGCAGTGCATGACTCAGCTATATTACATTACAATACATTGTAAAACCTGACAATCCATGTACTGAAACATGCACAACAAACTGAAACATGGATTATGTCATATTTTGCTAAATCCTGGTTATGATTCCAGTGTAGATAGAAACCAGATGACCTGGTTCATATCTATCTTAGCCTTTTTCAACTTTTCTTTTACCTTATCATTTAGTTCTTCCTTCTTTTTCTCCAGTTCCCTATTTAACAAGAAGAAAATACCAACATACTCTCCCTCAAGGACCTTTTCCATTGTAAATGAATCCAAAAATTGATTTAACAGGACCATCTCCTGTGCAGTGTCACCATAACTGCTAGGCTTGTGCATAATTTCAGATTAGATCAGAACTCATATCTGACTCATTAAATTTGGGCTTATGAAGATGAGTTCTGAGGCATGCAGGAAAGGTGGGGGGGATTTAGAATTTGAATCACCCATTTTTTCATAAATGTTCTGTAACATTCGGATGTCTCCCAAGGTCAGTTTAATTTTCACTATAACCATTCAGCAATATTGGTAAAGCTGCTTTTAAATCTTTTAAAATCTCATTCCTTTGGCTCCATTTTCATCAGCTCTGCCATAAGGGAGGCACTGTGAGCGTGGCTAATCACAGTCATCCTAGCTATAGTCCAGGCCCCAATGGTAGCTATTGCAAAAGGCCTTGCCTTAAACTACATAGGATAGCTCAAAAATGAGGGAGAGAGGAACCTCTGAAGTTTCCCCAATAGTAGTTGCTAGGCCTGGGTAACAACAGAAAAATTTGTTTCTAAAATCGATTCGTTTTTTGGGGGTTTTTGCGTTTCGTTATTTAAAATAATTACAAAATTTTCCTTTTAAAAAGTTCGATATTTACGAAATTTTGTAAATGGTAAAAAAAATAACGAATCGATTTCCGAAACAATAACGAATCGATTCGTTAATGGCGGACGCGACCGCGAACGAATTATTAACGAATTACGAATTAACGAAACGAAACCGCCCAGCCCTAGTAGTTGCATTACATGGTTTGGGAAGTGGGGAGACAAATAACTGCTTTAAACTACATTTACCATTATGCCTCAGAAGGAGAATGTACCAATCAGGTAAGAGAGAGAAAATTATCTCGAAACAGTTCATTTTTCTGAAAACTAAAAAAAACCAACCTTAAATCAGTAGATGTATTAGTATTTCTGAATGTTGAGGGGAATGATCCCCTGTTATTTTATATCATTGGATAAAAAAATTCAAGGAGATGGATCTTGTAGTTTTTTTAAAAAAAAAACATTATTTTTAAAAACTTAAAAAAATTGCCATGGCCACCCTTGAGGATGTGAAGACCAAATCCCTCCATTAGTGCATGACATAGTGGGTGTCGCAGACTGCACAGGGACTTAGTGAGCAGGCATACTTCAAGGTCCTCATTGCCAGTTAAACGCTCTCATCTGAATAGTACTATCTAGGGCTGGGCGGTTTCGTTCGTTAATTTCGTAATTCGTTATTAATTCGTTATTTTTTTTATAACGAAGAGATATTGAACCATTCAGGAGCAACTAAAAAACGAAACGAATTTTTTCAATTCGTTTCGTAATTGTTTCGTATTTGTTTCGAAATCGATTCATAATTGATTTGAAATCGTTTCGTTATTATTTCCGCATGTCTGGTGCAAGTTTTATAGTTGTTGTTTGTTTTCTCAGTGAAAAAAAAATTATCACACCAACAGTCAACAACAGAGGGAGAGGGAAGCTTCCTGTCCCATTTGGAGTTTTTTTTAGCGTATTGCGCGATCGCGCCTGCCATTAACGAATCGATTCGTAATTGTTTCGAAATCGATTCGTAATTGATTCGTAATTTATGAAATTTCGTAAATATAGAAATTTTTTAAAGGAAAATTTCGGAATTAATTTAAAAATCGAAACGCAAAAACCCCCTAAAAACGAATCGAGTTTAGAAACAAATTTTTCCATGGTTGCCCAGCCCTAGTACTATCACTTGTCTCACCTGAAACAGGTAAAAGAGTGCCAATGCCTTCTATTTGGGAGAGGCCAGTCACTGGTACACGGGATACCTCCAGATCCTCTTCCTGTTCAGCTACACTCGATGCCTCTTCTTTTTTCTTGTCCTGCTCAAGAGCATTGAGACAGGGAACAATTTCATTAACCATACTAGATGTAATAATAATCTTTTCTGAACCCTAAGCTACCTGCTTGCGAAATTTGAACTATCACTTTTTCTCTGGGGTTTAAAGTCTGAACAGAACAACACTGATCAGGTGGACCTCATCATCCATCAGATAAGGAGGATACTGCAGGTGGGGGTCTGTTAGAGGGAGAACTTTCTTGTTTAGCCCTTTCCCTTAGCACTGCCAGTGCCTTTCTTTAGTGCCATGGTATTGAAATTGTTTCTACAACAATGGCCAAAGAGAATTGCAAGCCATTGGGTAGGTTAATCACCTAGGATAAATTAATCCGTGAAGTCTATAAACCAGGGAATCCCCTCAAGCAATAGTAATGTAAGTAAAATATGAATAAAGTACAAAAAAATAGAGGGCCACACAATCCACCGTAGACTAACCTAAAAATGAGGTCACAAAGGAGACGTACAAACTCCAAGACATTAAGTGGGACCACATGGGAATTAGAGATCTAGTATTCAGGAAACATAAGCAACCAAACAAGGTTAGACAGCTCATAGTGGAATGGGTCTATGACACTGTAAGTTAATCAGACCAATGGAGGCCGAAATAAGTGTGCAGAAAGTGAGCTACAAATTCCAGAGGACCTAGGATCATGAAGGAATTGGGGACCTACATACTAAGCTGTGACAGTGGCCACATGAAATTAGAGCCTTAGCAATAGATACTGGCTCTGAAAATGGGAGCCTATCAGGATCAATAATTAAAGCCAAAACAATCCATTAGTAAAAAAGGCAAAAAAACAAACAAACACCTGCCTCTAGTTAAGGGCCTACAATTTTGCCCTCAGCGTACTGTATATAATTATGGACATATAGACCTAGTAATGTTGGAAGCCACCAGAGAGCTGAAGGTGCAAGATAACACAAGACCGCCAATAAATGAAAAGATTTTCCCAGCACAAAGATACTCCCTAGGCATGATGACAACAATAAGGAAGAAATTAAACTGTAACTAAATCAGTAATGTTGTGTATTAGGCATGGGCAATCCATGGTTCCAAAGTACTTACAAAACTAGAATGCACCTGTGCTTTGCTTCTAAAGTGTTGCTAAAGTTCTTGTGGTGAAAATTTCAGAACTCTAACAAAAGTTTCAAAATTTTATTATTATTTCATCATTGGCAATTTTTATGACAGAACCAATTTGGAACTGCCATTTATAACAAAATTTTGAAAGTTTTGTTAGAGTTCTGAAATTTTCACCACCAGAAATTTAGCAACACTCTAGAAGCAAAACACCAGTGCATCCTATTTTTATAAGTACTTTAGAACCATTTAGAACCATGAATTGCCCATGCCTAGGTATCTTTGTCATTTCCCCCTTATCTTTTTCTAAGTGGCAGACATTGTGATCTTCCTTCTAGCTCCTTCGTTATTTAGTAGATGTTTTTAATGCTTCACTCTCCAATCACATTCTACTGTTTTGAGCTTTACTTTAACTGCCATGGCTACATTCTTAGGGCCCTGTTACTTCAGGAGGAATATTTAGAATAAATACCAGATGCTATTTGGCTTTGGAAACTAAGCAGGATTAGTGCTTTGATGGGAGAACACCAACAAATACCAGATGCTGTAGGCTATATTTCAGAGGAAAGAGCTGGCAAAATCACATCTGAATATTTCTTGATTAAAAAAATGCTACAAAATTCATGGGGTGTCAAAAGTTGACAGACATCCTGAAGACACTTTCTTCATCAAATTAATACATTTAGAATTCTCAGCCAGAGAAGTCTATGGTTTTACCAAAACTGCACACCCTAGAATTCCACAGGTATGTAAGTAGAATATTCTGCAACTGAATAGTGTGAAAGGCCACCACCAGAACGATACATTGTTTCTCCAATGTGATGTATACAAAGGCATCTTATGGTATTAGTGTTTTTATTGCTTCCTTCTTACTCCTTTCATAATTATCCTGATAATAGATCTCAACTTGCATACTCTGAGCCTCAGTCCTACACTAACTTATCTGTTCATAGCATGTTCCCAGGCGAACATAACTATAATAAATAATAATAATAAAACTTTATTTATATACTACTCTATCTCCCCGAGGGGACTCAGAGCGGTTCCCAGGTAAAAATCACAGAACATACAAAGTAAAAACAACATAACCGTAAGATTAAAAAAACAAAATATGCATAAAAATTGTTGCCATAACACATATATATTAAAAAGTAATCCTGCCAGTTCAAGGCAATTAAAAAAATTTAAAAGGCCGGGCCAAGATTCTAGGGGGCCTGGGGGCCCCGGGAATTAAATACAATGCTATGGCAGGCAACAATAATATTAGGTACGGGTTTGTGGCTGTTCATTCCAGGGCCAACTATAGGAAATGATCTGGGTAACTGGTAGGCAGAATAAGGCTGTATTCAACAATATATAGGGCTGAGTTAGAACTGGCCATTTTTAAAGGCTTGTTGAAACCACCAGGTCTTCAAGCTCTTATGAAAGGAGGGGAGGGACGGGGCCTGTCTTATTTCCCTTGGAAGGGTGTTCCAGAGGCGGGGGCCACCACTGAGAAGGCCCTCTCTCTCTCGTCCCCACCAACCACGCTTGAGACGGTAGTGAGACCGAGAGGAGGGCCTCCCCAGAAGATCTTAGAGTTCACGCCGGTTCATAGAAGGAGATGCGATTGCGGAGATAGGCGGGGCCTGAACCATTTAGGGCTTTATAGGTCATGACCTGCACCTTGAATTTGGCTTGGCAACTTATCGGCAGCCAATGAAGCTGTTTTAATAGGGGTGTTGTATGCTCCCTATAGTTTGCTCCCATAAGGAGCCTGGCTGCCGCCCGTTGTACCAGTTCAAACTTCTGGGCCGTCTTCAAGGGCAGCCCCATGTAGAGCACATTGCAATAGTCCAGTTTGGATGTAACCAAGGCATGGACCACCCTGGCCAAGTCAGACTTCACAAGGCATGGTCGTAGCTGGTGCACAAATTTGAGTTGTGCAAAGGCCTCCTGGCCACCGCTGACACCTGAGCATCAAGCGACAGCGTTAATCATCCAAAACCTGCTCCTAATTTTTTTTGAGTTTACAGAAAGGGAATCAAAAGATCTACAATGGACAGGCCTTAGACAGATGAAAAATCTGCCACTTTGATTTTAAAGTGTGAAGTATATCTGAGTGTGTACATGTGTTTTGGGTTTCAAATGTGAAACTGGGGAAGTGTGTAGTTTTAAAACAGGGAATAGGTGATAGGAAAAATGGGGAAGAAACCAGGTACATGAATTGTTTATACTGCAATTAAATGAGAATGCTTATCAGGCAATCGTGATGGTAGTAGAAGACTGGGTTTGTAGAAATACTATTTTGAGCAATAAAATGTAATGAGGTAATAGGAATTGGTCTTGCACTGTAAGTGCCATTGCCTTGGGATTTATACCTGGTTCATGGACCAGTGTAGTGTCCTGTTTTTTTTTTTTTGTGAGTTGAGGCAGATTCATAAGCGAATTGTTGCTGTGTGGTAGAGCTACTGTTTCCTGTGCAGAAACTGTTGTGAAGAGTATCGTCAAAGAGCAAAACATGGCTTATGTTTGGCTTCCCACCCCACCCCACCCCTCCACTTAGACCCCATCTACACTGACTAGCTAACACACTGAAGGAAGTGGTTTCACTTTATAGATGATTATATAGGAAATCCTGAAACCAATTTGCGACCCAGATGATGATTACACAAACTACAGAGTACAAAAGCACATTAAGAGTTTTCTTCTGTGCACTTTTGTTGGAGTTTATTGTCTGGCTGCAGTAGTTTGAAGCTGCATATTTAGTGCTAATGTCAAACTGCATTAAATGGTCAATGTAGATGAGGCCTTAGTGACACATATTTCTGCAGTTGAAATATATGCTTTAAAAAAAGCTAATTGAGGCACAGGAGAAGGTGTGTTTATCTTAAAATAGATATCAGTGATTGCCTAACATTGGATGATTGGCATGATTTATTGCTTGTCTAAGTCCCCATGAGCCAGTGTGGTACAGCAGTTTGAATGTTTTACTAGAATTCCAGAACACTAGGTGTTAACTTCTTGCTTATCCATGGAAACCCACAAGGTGACCGTGGGCATGGCACATTCTTTCAGCCTAAGAGGAAGTCAATGACAAAGTTCTTCTGAATCAATGTTGCCAAGAAGACTCTAGGAGAGGGTTACTATAAGTCAGAGTTGATTTGATGGCACATAATATCAAGAAGAAAAACCCACCATGCAGCCTTGTATTCCACTTGAGTGATGCAAGAAACTGCTAGCCCCAGTTCCCAGCATTCAGCAGTCTTGATATGCTTGTTTTTCAGTCTGCTAAACACAAAAGACAAATTAAGCACAATTCAGATCAGTTGAACAAAACAGTTGCAGAAAGCACAATTCAGATCAGTTGCATTAACAATTCTTCCTTCTGCTCTTGGTTTCACAGTCACATTTTCTTAAAGAAAGTTAATGATTGAAAACATGAATGGTAATGTGTACTGTTTGTCACTTGTTTCCCCCCCAAATTTTTAACAGATAATCATTGTCATAATGTTTCTCACAGTTTACTATGGCAGGTCATCCATTTCAGTTCTCATTAGTAACTTTCAAGTACAGTCCAGCAAGCAGGTTTTAATTACAATTCCTGGGTGTAATTCTTTCCCAGGCCTCAATATTCAGAATGGTGTTTCCAAAATTATTTGCTCTCATTCATTCATTCCTTTCATACAATTCATTAATACCCACAAATATCAAATCTGCACGTTATATTTTAATGTGACACCCTGTAGTCCTTTGTCTTTTCTTTTTCTTCTATTTATTGCAGCTTTCTAATTTCTGGATCAGTCGTATAAACCATCTTAGTCAATCAAGGACCACAAAACAAAAGAGATGATGTCACAAATCATTTGTATGATGATAGCCCTACTCAGTGGAAATGAAATTGGATACTATACACAAGTCTCTATCCTCTTTCCACATTCTTGCCACTCTTCCTAGAGATTGACTTTATGAAGAGAAAGCCTTCTCTATGCATGGAGACTGTCCATCAGATTCAAATGCTAGAAAATTGATCTTTTAGGTTCATTGGAAAGCAACCATGAGTATGCACGAGGAAGCATTTGAATTAGTACATTCTTGTCTCTCTTCCTCTATTTTACTGACTTTTTTCAGTGCCAGAGTGCACCTCTTCCTCAGGGGTGACTGAAGTGGGCAAAGGGCAAACCGGCAATATTCACCTGTAGTTCCAAATTTGAAAGAAGAGAGGGTCATTGTCTTGGATTCCCAGTGTACTCACTAATTGGATATTTGTGAAATATCTCTACTGTGGACCATGGAACAACAAGCATACACTGTGCTTCCCAGTCTCTCTTGACCACTAATTTGCTGTGGAGACACAGTTTGGTATTTAAAAGATCATTTGCATTTGTAATTTGAGGATCACTTTATTGAACACATAGTGCCATAATAGTACTGTAAGAATAGCTGTCCTTCAATAATTTAGTTTCATAAGTGTTTCTGCTAATCAAGAGTAATATAGTGGATGGAATGCCATCACAATTCTATACAGCCAATTGTAACTGGGTACATAATGATGTTAAAACCCTCACTTCAACTGAAACAAACAGAAAAAGAAAAGACAATATATAGATATTAAAAACCATTGGTCACCTAGACACAAATTAAAAATAAGCAAAAAGTAAAAGGAATTTTGATGCAGTTGAACAACTTCACAGTAGTTTTCTTAGTGATGTTTAATTACCAGCTGAAGAAACATTTATGGCTGCAATTTTAAGAATAATTATGTTTAAATAATCCTCTTGAACTCAATGAAGGTAAATTTGATGCAAGCATAGTTAGAACAAGGCTGCAAATTAGTATTGGACATTATTTAAATATCAAAACAATTAAAAACACATCAAAACCATATCATAAAATTGGCACTAATTTGTGTCCACCAACATCCATTGCCATCCTTCTTTTAAAATAAATACACCAAGAGAACTTTTAATTCCTTTTGAATTTGAGAATAGTACTCTACATTTTCTTCTTCCAGAAATAGCATTAACTTACTGCATGTTGCAGCTGATATGATTGCTTTTCTTCATGCTTGTCCAATTTATATTTCTTCTTTTGCTCTTAAAGGTCTGCACATTATGCCCTCAGGGTTATGTACTTTTGCCTTCATCAACAAAGAACTTCAGACAGAGGGAAGATGATTTTCGAAAACAGCCAGCAAAACAACAATCTTTTACAAGGATAGTGTTATGTTTTATATGAAGTTTTATAAAATAACCACCCCAATTGCATGTCCATTTACCACACTGGAAAGCAGTGGAAATGTGGGAGATTAATTTACTGGCATCCAGGGATGTTGCCAGAGCATACTTTTCCTTGACAGTTGGTCAGGCAAGGATGTGATGGGGCATGGCTTAGTTGGCCTATATATAAGACAGTGATGGCCTCTATCTGCATCTAGGAATCTTTTTGGCCCTTCTTCACTTCGTTTTGCAGCATAGTGGTCACTTGGGGTTGGATATGAATTCTCTCCCTCATTTTTATAGGGTCCCCCCCCCCCCATCTACCCTACACTGTCACAGAAATATGGACAATTTGCTTAGTGTGACGTCAACTTGAATAGGTTTCCCAAGCAGGTGTTGGGGAGCTACAATCAGATACACCTACTGGAACATTTGGAGTTAGATGGGAATTTTGAACTTTCCTGAGTATCAGGTGATCTAGGGGTTAGGACAAATCTCCTGTCCTTGAGACTGTTAGGAGTCTTTGCTCTCATCAGGGGCCAAAGCGGCTTGAGGGCTTACATCTTCCAGTTTTTGAGCGAGACCTTTGAGCAACAATATTGATCAAAGATTGCTCTCAGCGGCTTTTGCTGTTTGACTCCAGGGGAGGCTGGGGGCTTGAGTCAGGGGTGAGCAACTGCTTCAGCAACTTCCATATCAAATTTGCTTCCCCAAATTTGACTAAGCACCACAAAAAAATATCAAAGACAAAATTCTTGTTAGACAGACTCTCTGGGTGGGGGGGGGGGCATTCATTGAAATGTCTCCTGTGTGGAGAGAAGTGTTGCTTATCTTATGAGTGGGGCAATGCTAAGCATTATCTCAGATAATTATTTCTAATTTATTTTTGGCCCTTTTCCGTTTATGCTACAAAATAAAAATGAAGGAGAGTTACATCCTTCGGGCCATTAAAAATGCTGAGAAACTAAATCAAGATCTAACTGTTTCAAAGGACTAATAGACCTAGCCTGTTCTATAATCCTGAATATTGGCATAAAATAAATTAATTTTATTCCATTTTAAACCATATGATAGAGTGGATAGAAAAGATGGGGCATTTGCATTCTACACAATTACACCAATGTGATTGATTCCACTTTAAATATCATGCATGCATCCCATGGAATCAGTTTGATGAGGTACTAGAGATCCTCTGGCTGACCATTCTAAATACTTCTTAAACTTAAAGATTTCATAAGATGGAACCATGGTAATTAAAAAATAACTGCACAGTATGAAAGGATCCCTGGAATACGTTCTGATATTTACTCTGATACAGAAAATAAGGATATTAAAAACACTGTATGAACACTGTACTGAAGTATTTTGCATGTAATAGAAGTGATTTAACTTTTGCTGTTTGCCTGAACATCTTCAGGTATGGGAAGCACCCACATAATCGAATGAAAGTCTCTGGTGCCTCCTTCAGACTAAAGACAGCCTGTAATCACATTTTTCTTGGTTGGACATTTATTCGTTCAAGGCTGATAAAGTACAGTCTTCCAGGGTGCATTGGATTCTTACTTGTATCCCAAGAACAACAGCCAAAATCCAACTTAGTTCCAACTAGGAGGCCCACTGAATCAATAGAACTTACACAAGCATTGCTTTATCAAGTCTCAATTGATTCAGTAGATCTACTCTAGTTCTTAGTTAGAATTGGATTAAGGTAAATGACTCAGATAGTGTTTTGTAAAATGTTACTATCATCTTCTTTTTCATTGACCTTTAATGAATACCCATTTTCTATGACCTCTGTTGGAAGTTTGGCAGAGTAGCATAAAAATATCTGCTCTCTGCCACAACTCGGCAGAGCGAAGCAAAGTGTTTCTGCCCATTTGTAGCAGTTTCTAAATCAGATTTACATAATGTAATCCATGATTTCCCCCTTCTTTAACTGTAACGACTATGATAGATCAGTTCTATGAGTTCTTTAAACAAAATAGGCAAGAATTCTTTAGTCATTTGCAAACTAGCAAATATCGGAATGGATATTCAGAACAAGGATGCTCTAGGTCAAAGAGTGAATATTAGATGTGAAGCCTGTAACCCTAAAAAACTGACTAACAAAGGGATGGAATAAATATCCATAGGAGGATAATAATAATAATAATAATAATAATAATAATAATAATAATAGAATTTAAAGATTGAACTGCAAATACTTTGGCACAAGCCAATAAAGGTAGTCCCAGTGGTGATCAGCACACTGAGTGCAGTGCCCAAAGACCTTGGCTTGCACTTAAAAACAATTTGTACTGACAAAATTACCATCTATCAGCTACAAAAGACCACCCTACTCTGATTTGCATGTATTATTCTCCAATACACCACACAGTCCTAAACAGTTGGGAAGTGTCCGGCACGTGATTGAGTTCTGTGTACTATTCTTGTTGTGCATCAAATAATAATAACTTTATTTACATCGCGCCCCCTCGCCCCAAAAGGACTTGGGATGGCTATTTATAATTTAGTCTTTTAGTAATCAAGCATCTTTTTTGCATACTACTTATTGAGGGTACAACATACTCAGAACTCAATATTTATAACGGTATAAGTAAAGTTTGAAAGTGTTCAGTATTATAGGCAGAGCAATATTAATAGAAAGTCAGTTGAATTAATTTACATGTGTTCATGCAGAACTTGGAAATGGTTTGTAGGAGAAGATACACTAGTGACTGGTGAAGAGTATGATTTGAAGTGAACACCATTTTTTCAAGCTATTTCCTCAGAAATAAGAAAATAACTCAAATATTCTGCTCAATCATTTAATGCTGTAGGCAATAGAAAAGTCTCTTGGGAAGTTCCCTATTCCTCCTTCTTTTACTAAGTGTTCAGCTGCCTAGGAGAAATGCATTTCCTGGGGACCTTGGTAATTGGGAGCGATATTTCGACATTCAAAATGTCAGGGAGGGAAAGATCTCCTGCATCATGATCACCACCATATTCACCATTTCAATTAGAAGACATTTTCCTCTTATTCTTTTAAAGACTCAATAATGTCTTACACTGTAAAAATACAGAAGTTAAAAA